CCGAGGCTGCTCACCGCGGCGATTTTAAACGTCGTGAAAATATTTTATTATGAGTTGTTAATTGTAGAAAATTATATAAAAATAAATCAAAAAAGTGTATTAATGCCTCGGTCTACTCTTTTGTCAGCTGAGTATTCCTGTCTCTGCCCCCAGTATTCTACTTGATCAGCTCTCTCTGCACAAATAGAGCATGCAGACAGCAGAACAGGCTTCCCAAAAATCCAATGACAGAAATAATGAACAAAAAAAAATTGAAAAAGTGGTCTGGTTGAGAGTCCAGCCTTCCATCACTGTCCCAGGTGCTCCCAATGTCCAGCCTGGCCTTGGGCACTGCCAGGGATCCAGGGGCAGCCCCAGCTGCTCTGGCAATTCCATCCCAGCCCCTGCCCACCCTGCCAGGGAACAATTCCTGCCCCAGATCCCAAGATCCAGCCCTGCCCTCTGCCCCTGGCAGCCATTCCCTGGCTCCTGGCCCTGCAGCCCTTTGTCTTTCCCCACCCTCATTGGGAACAATTTCTAATCCAGAACTGGCCTCTGTCAGTTTGAAGCCATTCCCTCTTGTTCTGTCCCTCCATCCCTTCTCCAAAGCCCCTGTTTTAGAGCCCCTTCAGGCAGAGGAAGGGGCTCTAAGGTCTCTCCAGATCCTTCTCCAGACAAACACCCCCAGCTCTTTCTGTAGGATGTTAATGAAAGGACAAGATCTGTATGTTCAGTTCAGAATTCAGTTCCTGTAATAAAGTAAAAGTAGCTCTTCCTTCATCTCCTCATGTACCCTGTCCCATGCTCTGTGTCTGATTCCAAAGTGTTGCTTTCCTCAGAAGAGGAAGAACTTTGCCACTCATAGAAGTCATTAGAACAAGGAGCATCCTGCACACTTCCCGTGTCCTCCAGCAGCTTTGCCTGCAGATCATGAGCACAGTGCCAGTCACCTTCATCCTCCTGGGCTGGAGGAGCTGCAGAGCGGTGCCTGTCCTGCTCCAGGCTTCCCAGCTGCACCGTCTGTAAGCTGATGGTGAAGCACTCGCTGTTCCCCTGGGAGCTACAGCTGCCTTCAGAGAAAGGACTCAGGAACTCACTGCTCGTGTCTCCCTCTCCTCCAGGGTGTCCCTGCTGCTCCTGGGACTCGTGTGGCTCCGCAGCCGCGCTGTCCCCAGCCTGGCTGTGCTCACTGCTGCTCACCGAGTACTGCCCCAGGGTGCTGGGGGTGAGCCAGCCTCGGGGCACGCTGCCCCTGCCCAGCCCCTCACGCCTCGTGTAGTCGTGGTCACACAGGGCACTGTTGTCACTGTCACTGCTGTCGCTGTCGTCGCTGGCACTGCCTCTGCACGCCCTGGCCTTGCTCTTCACCTCTCTGGGGATGATCTCCACAGAGGCCGTGTTCTCTGGCTCACACACCCAAGCTGAGTAGGCCAACTGCCTGATGCATTCCTGGAAGAGTAAAAGCAATTAAATCAGTGCATCCACACTTACACAACCATGAAAAAAAACACAAATAACCTCCAGCCATGAGGCTGTCAAACAAATTATTCCTTCTGTGCCACCATTTCGGCTTTTTCTGCAGAGTTCAGGGTATCTAGGATTTCACCTTCTTTTCCATTCCTGAACATCACAGAACCCCAGAATGGTTTGAGTGGGATCTGAAGAGACCATCACATTCCAATCCCCTGCCATGGCAGGGACACCTCCCACTGTCCCAGGAGCTCCCAATGTCCAGCCTGGCCTTGGGCACTGCCAGGGATCCAGGGGCAGCCCCAGCTGCTCTGGGCACCCTGTGCCAGGGTGAGGTGAGTCTTGTCACTCTCTCAACCCTTGCAGTCACCTACCACAGCTGAGCAATTTTCACTTCCTTTAGAAATTATCATTTGAAGCAATTTCCACCATTTTAACATCCCAAGTCCCACCTTCCCTCTGCAATTCAGAGGATTATTCAATATTTAAAGCATCATGTTGACGATAAAAAAAAATAAACCTTAGACACTCCTTTTTAAAGCATTCAGCAATTGTTGGGATGTGAAAGTGATGACACAGCAAAGGACAGAAACATGAGGCAAAAGTCTTAGCAAAAAGTGACAGCCATCTGCTCTGGGTAAGTTTGTAGAAAACAGAAAATATTTATGCAGAAAAACCCTACAGAATTAAATGTAAAAAGTCAGAGACTGTAAAATATAAAACAAACAAGCAATTGGTAGAAACAAGAAATCTTGTTATTTTTGCTTGAAATTTAGGGGCAGTTCAGTCTATGAAAATAAAAAATTAGTTGCCTTTACATTGGCTTCCTCAGGTGCTAAAACACTTGATCACAGAGAAAGTCCGAGAGAGATTATTTTATTATTATAAAACAGTGGAACAACTTCTCCTGCACGCTCTCCTCACAGGGCAGGTTCTGCAGCCCCCTGCTCAGCCCCTGGCCCTGCTCCAGCCTGTCCACTCCTTTTGTGCCCTCTGGGGACCAGAACTGGGTGGAATATTCCTGGATATTCCCCTGAGCAGGGTGGGATGATCCTCTCTGTTAGTAACTTGTCACAGAAGCAGGAAGAAGTGGATTTTGAAGATTTTTTTCTGAAGATCAGATAAAACTTAGCAGGCTAGAGATCCTTTGACTGAGGCAAACCACAAATGCAAATATTCTGTGCTCTGACATAACTTGTACCTAAAGCACAGGACTGGAGACTGCAGCTGTTAAACTCCCTCCTGCCAGCCAGAGAGGGCAGATGTGAGCTGTTACATACCAAGCTCTGAGGAAGGGATATCTTCGGGTCAATGAAACCTGCTGCATGCACACACTTCAGGACTGCAGCAATTATCAGTGAAAAACAGACAGCACCTGCCACTGCAATTTCATGATACCCTGGAGTGAAAAAAATCAAATAAACACACATGGAGCAAGTGTCCCATGACCACATTGCAGAGCTCACAGTCACAGCAACTATTAAGAATCACCAATAATTTTGGTTAGAAGGGACCTGTGAAAGTCAAAGTCAAAACAAGACCAAATCTCAAATTAGCTTCTAAAACAGAAGTGACTCCATCATTATGCACAGTTGGTGGAGATGGCTCAGGGGATTGCCAAGAGATTTGCTGCCCCAAAGTCAATGGGGTTTTATATTCCACTCCTAAAACTCACGATGGGTTCTCTTGGAATGTTTCTCTCTGCCACTGAGGCTCCGGGCTCTGCTCCTGCCACAGGGACAGCAGCAGGGAGCGGCTGCAGCTGGCCCAGCAGGGATTTAGGTTGGCTTTTAGGGCAAGGCTCTTCTTTCCCCACAGGCTGAGCACTGGGCACTGCCCAGGCTCCCCAGGGAATGGGCACGGCCCCGAGGCTGCCAGAGCTCCAGGAGCATCCAGGGATGCCCAGACTGGGCTTGTTGGGGGGTCTGGGCAGGGCAGGGGGGCACTGGGGGATCCTGGGGGTTCATTCCCACTCAGGATATTCCATGATTTCTGTGATCACTCATTTTTTTGGACTGAGCTTTAAATGTCCCTACACCAAAAGCAAACATGGCCCTCTCAGACCAACCCCCTGCCCACAGCTCCGTTACCTTGTTGAGCCTGTGAGCCTGCAGTGGCACATTTCCAGGGGGAGGGGATGGAATGTTTGTTCAGGGAGGCAGTGACCACCACGGACACACAGTAATTCCTGCCCGGATACAATTCTTCAATGACAGTACTAAACACTTCTTCAGTGGTTTTCTGCCGTGGCCTCTGCAGTGAAAAACAATGTTTTGAAGTCACTCACTGGCTCAAAAGAGCCCCTGCTCACTCTCCCAGACTGTCCCCCTGCAGTGGAAGAAACCTCAGATTCTGTTGGCCAAGGTCCTTCTTTTCTTCTAAGAAATCAAATTCTATGTTTTCTTTTGCTTCTATCCACATATTTGTTTTTGGGAAGCTGTTAACCATCAGAGCCATTTTTCACCCTCTGTGTTCTTCCCCTAAATCACAACTGGGCCCCCAATTTCCCTACCTTGTGCTCTCCTTCCAGTGATTTCAGGGTGATATCATAATCCAGCTCTTTATAGATATCAATTAAAGACAGCAGCTTTCCCTTGTCCCTGTAGTGAGAGGTTGGCAGCTTTATGGTGACATTGATGCAGCTCGGACAGGAAGTGATATTAACTTCTGGTGGTCCCAGAATTGCTGTTGGAAAACAAGAAAGAGGAAAAAATGATGGTAAAAAGACACACTTTATCCAGTACCAATTCAATTTCTGATGCATACTGAGCTGGCTCAGCACATTCCAGAGGGGTCACCACTGTAAATCCACGAGGCATTGCAACATTTAACATCCACAGCCAAATCATCATTTCCCCCAGAGACACATTTTAAAGGGAAAGGGGTGGAAGAAGCAGAAAGGGGACAGAGGCTTTGCTTCAGCTTCACAGAGATTTGTATCTAGCTGAGATTAAAGCTGATGTTAAAGTGCAAGAATAGAATCCTGGAATGGTTTGGGTTGGGAGGGACCTTAAAGCCCTGCCATGGCAGGGACACCTCCCACTGTCCCAGGAGCTCCCAATGTCCAGCCTGGCCTTGGGCACTGCCAGGGATCCAGGGGCAATTCCATCCCAGCCCCTGCCCACCCTGCCAGGGAACAATTCCTGCCCAAGATCCCATCCAGCCCTGCTCTCCTCCAGCTTAAAGCCTCTCCCCCTAGTCCTGTGCTTTCTATTAAACCAGCTGCTGTGGGACTGCAGGGCTCCTCCTCAGGGATGTTCTCCAGCCCTTCAGTTCTCCTTCTGCCCATTTTCCCCATTCCTTCCAATGTTCCCTCATTTCTCACTCTGGAAGTGGACACAGCAGCTGCCTCTGCTGACTTCAGAGGAAACATGAGCAGTTTATCCTCCAGAGCTCTCCAGCTGTTCCTCAATTTCTGCCTCTGTTAGCTCAAAACTCAATTTTAAGCAAAGCCAAGGGTGAAGCCACCTCTGGCATTAAAGAGAAATATCTTCAGCAGGGAAGAGGGCAGATTGATGGACAAACAATCAATCTCTTTCCCCACACCTGGTGCAGACCTGGCATTTTTTAACTCAGCATTCACTGTTTGAACACACAAAAACAATGTTGTTTTTTAAATTATGTATCTTACACAGCCAAGAGATTTTTACTTGGCGTTTGTCAATGCACACCTTTATATTTATTACATATATATGTATTTATTTCAAAACCAGAGCCTTACTCCTTTATCAGAACTCCTCATTTTAGAAACTTATCTATATGCTTGAAGCTTTGTAACAGATATATGAAATACCAGATACAAATAGCCACCAACCCAGTGGAGGCTTACAGCAAAGGGAGCAGAATGTAACACAGGCATGAGCTGCTAATAAAAACTACAAGAAGAAGAAATGCAGAGAGGGAACTTACTCTGAATCAATGGCTGAAACTCATGCTCATAAGAACTGAGCACCTGAGCTCCTCCAACGCTCTGAACAAAGTAATAATACACAGCAGATGTGTCCTTGAAATCCTCTGTCAGCTCACAGGAGAGCTGGGCAATACCTGAACACTGCTGAGCACTCAACCAGGTCTGGTTCCTGCAGAAAAGAGCAAAAGAGCCTCAATTCTCTGATATGAGAAGGCATGGGAGTGTGAGGAGAGCATTTCTGAGGGAAAAAAACCCCAGAAAAACTAAGAAAAACAAAAACCCTCAGCCTTAGTATTTTCAGAGGATCCCAGGGGCTGGAAAAGCCCTCCCAGCCCAGGGAGTCCCAGCTGTGCCCGATGCCCACCTTGTCCCCAGCCCAGAGCCCTGAGTGCCACGTCCAGCCCTTCCTTGGGCACCTGCAGGGATGGGCACTGCAAAGCTCCCTCCTCTTTGGGTCAATAAACGTTAAAAGTAAAATTTGTGCCTCATTTTGTGTGACTTGCCTGCGGTCTCTGTACAGCACGTTGTAGGATGCTGGCACAGCTGGGTCACGCTCTTCCTGCCAGGACAAAATGTGCTGGAAATTGTGGGAGTCCATCTGGAGTTTTATTTTTTCTAGAAAGGAAATAATAAAAATAACAAACAAACAAACCAACCCAAAATAAACAAGCACCAAAAAAACCCACCAAAAAACCCAACAAACAAGTCAGACTTGCAACAATTCTAATAAATAAATCCATTTTAGATTAGCTCTGGATTTGCCCCCAAAAAGCAGCCACAGGTGAGAGCTCAGCACAACAGACAGAGCAATGCAAAGCACTGTGCACATGGATTACATTTCTACAAGTTCTTTCTCCAAAAAGCATGACGTTCCAAAATGATGATTGATGAGGATGTGCAAGTTATGAAATGTGTTAGGTGAAGCATTTTAAAGATGATAAAACTCTTACCATCCTGGCTGCAAACAGCTGTAGACAGAAAGGTGAGGTACACTGGAAATTGAAACTCTGTATTAATGCATTGGTGTATCCACAGGATCCTATTCTTATTGCAAATACCCATTTGCAACAATTGGGTTCATACTCAGTATTCCCTGGTGGAACTGTTACGTTCTTTCACATCTTCTTACGACTTTCCCTCCTTCTCCAGAGCCTGGGAGAAGTGTCCCTGAGCCTGGAGCTCTGAGGAGCTGGTTCTTAGATCTCTGCTCCTTCCACGTGAGGTTCAAGACTCAGTGTCAGCAAAAGCACCCAAGATGGTCTCATCAAATCATGTCTTGGAGGACTCTGACTGTACCTTACTGAATAAGGTATTCAAACACCTTTTCAAAGGTATTTTTCAAGCCATTCCAAGACTTTTAGAACTGATCTGGGAAAATATTCCATTGTTGCTTGACTCATCCTCATAGATCCCAGAATGGTTTGGGCTGGAAAGGACCCCAAAGAACATCCAATCCCACCCCTGCCATGGCAGGGACACCTTCCACTGTCCCAGGCTGCTCCAACCTGGCCTTGGACACTTCCAGGGACCCAGGGGCAGCCACAGCTTCCCTGGGCAATCCTGCCATTCCAGAGGTTCCTACATCCCAGGGAAGAAAACCTCCCTAGGACACTGTGATCCACCCTGGCTCCCACTGCATCCAGGACCCTTTTAATTAACCAACTCAACTTCTCATTATTCCCATCTTTTCAACACAGTGCTCCAAAACAGTTGAAGTTTTTGTTCTAACTCCTCTAATTTATTTTTTTTCTCAAGACCTTTGAGCCTCCCTTCTGCTTTGAGTGTAGCAAGGGGAAACTTCCTGTTCTTGTTGAAAGGCATTTTGTGGTCATGCCTCTGACTCAGGAGATGCTGACTCCCACACTCAGTTGGCAGAAACAGTCACTACTTTAATTTCAAACACATTTCTTCTCAGTTTTTTTCTACATTAAATCCATTTGGAAAGTTCCTCCCTTATCTTTCCTAGAACTCTCTTTTGCCTTGACCTGTTGTGCTAACAAGATGTGCCACAGTCAGCATGACTGTGAAAAGAGAAATCTGGACCTTGAATTAGAAAATTTAAACAATCTTTATGGAGATCCACAAATAAATGGGTTTAAGTCCAGTTAAATGTAGAACAGTGGAGTTCTTACAAGGCAGGAAATCACCCATTCAGAAAATAAAACATGCAGTGGGGATATATAAAGTAATATTTTAACAGTTATTATTATCTGAACACAAACTCAGATTTGTAATAATTTGTGTCTGCTGAGTTGTTGGTGCATTCCAGTTAGCATTATTTGATTTTTCAATGCCTCTTCTCTAGCCAAACCAAATTCCTTTTAGCTTAGGTTCAAACCGCCTCTGAACTTTGTTTCAACAAACAAGTTCAGCAAAGGAAGCTGAACAGTTTGTGTTACACTCTTACAGAGGAGACACAGCCAAGGGAACAAGTAACTGGGAAAACTCAGCCTGAGGAAATACAGATGGTCTGGAAACTGCATGGGAATCTTCTTCAGCCTCACTGCAGTTTCTACCACCCCTGGCAGTGTCCCAGGCCAGGCTGGACATTGGGGCTGGCAGCACCTGGGACAGTGGGAGGTGTCCCTGCCATGGGTGGGGGACAAAGGTCCCTCCCAACCCAAACCAGTCAGAGGTTCTGGGATGATGACCTTACCCTTTTTACAGAATTAAAAGATCCTAACAAATCCCCTCCTCACAACAAGTACAGCTCAGCCAAACTCTGCTTGTTTCACCTGATAATCCAGAAACTGAGGAGTGTTGGAAAAAATCAGAATAAAAAAGAAAAACCCTCACATGGAACTGAGAGTTCTGGGACATGCAGGGAGGCAAAATCATGGAATGGCCTGGATTGGAAGGGACCTCAGAGCTCACCCATTCCCAGCCCTGCCATGGCAGGGACACCTCCCACTGTCCCAGCTGCTCCCAGTGTCCAGCCTGGCCTTGGGCACTGCCAGGGATCCAGGGGCAGCCCCAGCTGCTCTGGCAATTCCATCCCAGCCCCTGCCCACCCTGCCAGGGAACAATTCCTGCCCCAGATCCCAAGATCCAGCCCTGCCCTCTGCCCCTGGCAGCCATTCCCTGGCTCCTGGCCCTGCAGCCCTTGGCCCCAGTCCCTCTCCAGCTCTCCTGGAGCCCCTTCAGGCCCTGCAAGGGGCTCTGAGCTCTCCCTGCAGCTTCTCCTCTCCAGCTGAGCACCCCCAGCTCTCCCAGCCTGGCTCCAGCCCCTGCTCAAGGTTTATGCACAGAACAGAGGATGCAGGGGTGAGCCAAGAGATCCTTACTCTGAGAATTACCCCAGGGAGAGCTCCACAGTAATGCTCCCTCACTTCATCAACTCAGCAGAATTATGAAGGCATTAATGAGCCCCCAGCCCTGCTCCTCTCTAACCCAAGGTTCTGGAACTTACCAAGCTGACAGAGAGGCACTGGCACATCCATCAGGGCTCCCATGGAGATCAGCAGAGAAACCCCTCTGCTACTGAAAGAAACATTTTGCTTCTGTTCCTACAAATACATGAAAAACATGCACATTTTACTAAATTATCACAATAAATTACCTTAGTAAAACCCTTTTAACTAAACCAAGCTTTCTGTACAGTTATTTTACCCTCTCCATTGCCTGAGGGAGGGCAGTGGTACTGAAAGAGTTACTGGGGGAGGGAGGGGGCACTGATCCTTATTTTACTGCAATTTTGTCCATTTTATGGCAAGAGCACTTTCCTTTTTCCACATGGAAAGGGCTTTTACCATTTCAAATAAAACAGAAACCATGGTATGATTTTTTATATTAGCTTTGCATTAAAATAGTATCTGAAAATTCAATGCCATTCACTCCTTCAAATTCATTAACACAATGAAAACAAACTTTGTTTGGCTCTGTTTGAAATAAACTCATCTCACTGTTGTAAGAAAGGTTTCCAGAAAGAGAACAGATCAATAGGGAGCTTAGAAAAAAAAATAATTATAAAGGAGTTATGAAGTTTATGTTATAATTTTTTTAATGCTGAAGATCTATTAAAAGAATCCTTCTCTTCACTATTTTTTACTCCATTTAATATCCCCATAATATTAATATCCACAGGACCTGGTGTTGAGTTAGCTGGGCAAGGGTATATCTATTTTTAAAGAACCTTACCTTCAGGTTTAATAAAAATTAACTGCTTTTTAATTTAACATTATTTTCAAATAGAACTGGAATTATTTTCTCTGCAAAACAACCAGTTTAAAATCATGCCAGAGCACACTGTGCTCAAGCTTAACCCTGTATATTCATATATTAACATGGGATAGAAGACATCTGTCAAAACCAGGTGAATTAAAACCCTGTGTCTGAGAAGTCAATCTCCCTGTGCCCAGAGTTCTGGCAGATCTGTAGGAAGTCACTGGAGAAATCTTGGGAATTTGTTCCTGGGCAATTTGATAATTCCACAGCCTAAAGCAACGTTCCCCTCATTCTATTAATTCATTCAAGCAGAAGTCAGTTCAAAGAGCACTTGCACCTTCAGGCAATCAGGATTTTCCAGCTTCCTCAAAATGTTCCCTTCAGGAGAAAGCCTTGGGAATGCTGCATTCACTTGGCAAATTACTTCTTTTCCCTGTCAAGCCTTGCAGTTAATCCCAGGCCCTGTTCAAAGCACTCCACGCCCAGAGGGATTGTGTACCTTGGATCCCTGCTGCCCACGCTGTCAGGGATAACAACAATCCCAGTGGGACTCACACGTGGCTCCATGGGATCACAACGGAGTTTCCTACACGATGCATATTCAAAGCCAGGTTATTTGTTCAGCACCTCAGAATGTCTGAGAAAATGTGATAAAATGTGTTCATCTCCAGGCTTCCACAGCTGCCTCAAGATGGATTTCTCCTGCAGGTCTATCAGTGCCAGGGAAATTCCAGGGCAAAACCATTTCTGTCAGAACTCTGCTGAGCTGTTCTTCCTCATCCTCTTCAGAGCTGCAGCAATCCCTGCAGTGAAGCCGTGGAAAAAGCAGTGAGTGCAGCCCCCCGAGCCCTGGCTATGCCCACAGGAGATCCCCTGGCAGCTTCCTGGAGCTCCTGAACTCAGGGTGACACATGCACAGCATCCCCAGCTGCACTTCATGGATTCACACTGCCTTGGGCTGGAAACACCTTAAATCCCACCCATTCTCAACCCTGCCATGGCAGGGACACCTCCCACTGTCCCAGGAGCTCCCAATGTCCAGCCTGGCCTTGGGCACTGCCAGGGATCCAGGGACAGCCCCAGCTGCTCTGGCAATTCCAGCCCCTGCCCACCCTGCCAGGGAACAATTCCTGCCCAAGATCCCAAGATCCAGCCCTGCCCTCTGCCCCTGGCAGCCATTCCCTGGCTCCTGGCCCTGCAGCCCTTGGCCCCAGTCCCTCTGCAGCTCTCCTGGAGCCTCTTCAGGCCCTGCAAGGGGCTCTGAGCTCTCCCTGCAGCTTCTCCTCTCCAGCTGAGCACCCCCAGCTCTCCCAGCCTGGCTCCAGAGGGTTCCAGCCCTGGGATGATGATCCCAGTGGCTCTCAGGTTCAGGCTTGATGGGGTTACATTTCCTTCCAATCAGGAAAAAACAAAACAAAACAAAACCAGCTTTGAGATTTTGAAAGTCAGTGGATCATATTTCAGAAAAGCTTTACCTCAGTTCATCGGAAAACACCCCCAATTCTCTGAAACAAGTCGAGGGCCTATTTATTTACAGAATCAGCTTATGGGATTAACTGAGAGAGGCAGAGAGACTGACAGCAGGTAAGTCTGCAGAGGAACGTTCTAAGCCTGCACAGGGACCTCTGGATGTCACCCAGCCCAGCTCCTGGCCCGCCAGGGTCACCTGGGGCAGGGACACTGGAACGTGCCCAGGGGGGTTTGGGGTGGCTCCAGAGAGGGAGACTCCAGCCCCTCCCCGGGCAGCTGTTCCAGGGCTCTGCCCCTCCATGGAAGGAAGCTCTTCCTCAGCCTGGGCTGGAATTGTTGTGTTTTAGCTCCTGCCACTGCCACCACTGAGCAGAGTCTGGCACCATCCTCTGATGGCCCCGGAGCTCTGTACAATCCCCTTCACCTGAACCCAGCCCAGCCAGGGAACCACATTGTGGCTGTAGCGTTATTCCCACCCTCGACTGCTGGGAAACTTTGGATAAGCCGCTTCTAAGGATATGGAAATCATTTAAACACAATAACACAAGGCCATTACCAGCAGCCCTTTATTCCATGGGCTGCCACAGTGCTGGGGAGGACACGGCCTCAGGCTGGGCCAGGGGAGGCTCAGGGTGGGCAGCAGCAGGAATTTGCCCACGGAAAGGGAGCTCAGGCCTTGGCAGGGGCTGCCCAGGGAGCTTTGCAGTGCCCATCCCTGCAGGTGCCCAAGGAAGGGCTGGACGTGGCACTCAGGGCTCTGGGCTGGGGACAAGGTGGGCATCGGGCACAGCTGGGACTCCCTGGGCTGCGAGGGCTTTTCCAGCCCCTGGGATTTTGGGATCTGCCCGTGGAGGGACCCGAGTGGAGCACACGGGAGCCTCGGGGATGCTCCAGCCCGGGCGGGGGCCGCAGCGAACCGCGCCTGAGCCACGAGAGCCTCACAAACACCAGGCCTCGATGCACCAAAGCCACCCCCAGGCACCTCCCAGGCTAACGCGGGGCTCAATTCAGCGAGCGGGACGCTGCCAAAAGCAAACCTGGCGGATTTCTGGGGCTCCATGCGCGGTTCAGGGGGCGCCACACGGGCCTGGGCCCCACACGGCGGCAGCAAAGCGTTCCCGGCAGCCGCGGAGCCTTCAGGCAACCCCCGGGAGAGAGCGCAGCTGGAGCGGCGGCCTTGACCCGGGCTCCGCCTCAGGGAACCGCTCCATTGTCACCGCAGGGCCGGGGGGCAGCAGGGGGGAAACGACAC